GTTAATTGAACTAATTTCAGTTCCAAACCAAATAGAAAGACTTGAGCATATCATATTACACCAAAACAAGTTAGACCAAATTTTGGTAATAGTAAAATACACATGAAATAGGTATTTGCTGGATCAAACTAGCCAGTTCAGTCCGGACAAGATCAAATCTAGTTTGACCTAGATTCGATTTGGAGGTCTGATCTAGATTCGATTTGGAGGCCTAATCTAATATGATCGAATCTATTTAAACCTAGTCTAATGTAGTATGATCAGATACGTTTAAGGTTATTTTTACTTGGACTGTTTTCAGTCTCAGATCAGATTAGACCAGACCAGACTTAAACAGACCAGACTTTCTTGGTTATAAAATACACAGAGATCAAACATTTACTAGACCAGACCAGCTTTAAATAGACCAGATCAGACCAAACCAAAGCAAACCAGCAAATTTCAGTCCAAGTAAAAACATTCTAAATCTGGTCTGATTTAATACGAGACCAAAACTAGTCGTATTTAAAACATTAGTACGACTCTATGAGTCGTGATAGTAGTGGCCAGGGACCCTCCTCAGTCCTCATGCACCCACAAAACTAAGGATGTTTTCTTTTGGACTGAAATTTGCTGGTCTGGTAAACGTCTGGTCTCTGTGTATTTTATAACTATCCAAGTCTGGTCTGGTCTGTTTAAGTCTGGTCTGGTCTGGGATTGAAAATAGTCCAAAAGAAAACCTCTTAAATAGCAAAAACTAAATAGCAGACAAGAATATAACCGCCTACAAATTATATTTCCTTATTTATTTGTCTCTTTGTGAAAGTGTGATGGCCGGACTACACTTGTGACTCAGCCACCCATAAGGCACCTAATTGCATGCTTAATTAAATCTATCGGTCCTTCAATTGCTTAACTAACTATTCACTCTGATCATAATGCGTACCAGAAATATTAGGCGCAATCACACGACATATACGCACTGTGCAGTTGAGTGTATATAATCACTTCTCTTATCTAACTTTAATTAATCAGTTAATTACACTTAATGTTGCGTAACATAGGTGAAATCCCTGTTTAGGGATACCTTACAAACTGCTTTTTAGCACACAAACACAAATACTGAACCACCAACATTAACTTGAGCCTAATTTTAACCTAATCACGCCCTCTTAATTTTATATTATAGCCTAATACCGTAGTATATAATATACATGTCAATATGTGTGTGTTTTCATTTTTTATATCTATAGGACGTAACTAAAACCTCCAGCCTAATTCCCCCCTCCAGGGTTATGTTGTCTCTTTTTTATGCAAACTTATCACTACTAAAATCTACGTAGTACTACGTAATAAGGATGAATTTATGCAATAATTACATACTAATGTATTACTCCGTATGTATGAAGAAAGTAAAGATAACAAAGCCTGACTTTTTGTGCACAATGATCATGACTAGAGGTGCAGGGGCGGAGCCAGACTTTTGCATTGAGGGGGGCGAGAATATAATACAAGTATTAGCATATAAACTAGTTAACTACACACAAATACACAATCTTTAACAGTTTATATAACTAATATACGAAGTAAGTATTAATAAATTCTTATTAATTAATAATAATAATTCAATTTCACTACAGGTCGAGCTAGTTATTACGGAGTATTTTTTATTCATTTCATTACTTATTAAATTAATTGATAACTTATAAACAAAATTAACCAATTACTGGATCAAATGAGAGCAAAAATGCAAAATCATATACTGATATACTCGTATGAGATGAAGAGTAGTGAATAAATGAGCTCACATATACTTATTTTATACTTGGCTAAACTATAGGAGAAAACTCGTTGGTAGGAATTTAAATTTATGAAGAAGAAAAAAAATCCAGAGTAATTGAGATTTATTGAGTAAACCTCTACTGCTTGAAACCTAGTCAATTTTGTTTATGCAATTCACGGATTAGAGTACGGTGAATCACTGAATTGGTATTTGTTAATAAATGACACTCCGTAATATAAAACAAATGAAAATATATTATTCCAAAATTGAGTAAAATACATGAACAGATTCGAACCGGAGTTTGCAAACTTGAGATGAGCAAGGCCGCTGGCCGCCCACTAGTGCAGCGCCCAGATTTCTCCAAGCTTCAGATGAGCAAGGCGGTCTGCGGCGTTCTCCAAAGTCCCGACTTCCCCAGACGACCCCGGTCCCGTTCAAATGTTAGGTCAGCCCCTACGCCCAAAATTCTAATTCTAATTGGGCGGTTGGGCCTAAATGCCTAATATGGAGCGATATCTTACGGAGTTGGGTTTGCATCCCAGCTGGGCTGCATTATTATATTTGGGGGGGAGGGGGGCAAAAAATTGTAATAGTAGTATTTTATTAAAAAAAAAAATTGGTGGGGGGGGGGGGGGGGGCAATGGCCCCCTTACCCTTAGCAGTAGTTCCGCCCCTGTAGAGGTGGGCATATATATCGAACGGTTTTTATCGGTTTTGGTTTGATTTGATATGAAACGGTTGAAAGTTTATTATATTACCAAACAAAAATCATACTGTTTTTTTATCTAGTTCGGTAAGATTTAGTTAAGTTTGATTTTTATTAATTTTTAATAACATATGAAGATTTTATTGAATTTCAAGAGTCTGGTTCTGTTTTTTTCGGTCTCGACTTGGTTCAGTATAGTAGAGTTTGAAGCAGATACTAACAAACTCAAACCAAACCGAATTGCATATACGTTACTCTGGTTTCGGTTTGGTTTAGTCCAGTTTGATACGACTTGTTTCATTTAAAACTAAACCATTATGTGCACCCCTAATCATGATGGTAGATTCATATTGATTTTATTTACGTATAACATTTTTATCCATAAATTCTATTTCAATGGGGAAAATGCCTATTGAAATTCTATTTCAACATTTGGTCTCCTAAGTGCTCTTCTTATAATTACTATAAGCCTAATTATATGATACAACGACTGTCAAATTTTGTGAAGTTACATGCCTTTAAGTTTGGTGCATGTATCAAAACATATATTAGCCTACATTATAGACGTTTCTCATTATAACATTGATGGGATAAGTATAAACACCATTTTTTGATGGAGATCCACAACACCTCACATTTGGTGTTGTAGTTGACAAGCCTAGAGTGGCTCATGACTTCGTCAAACAGACTCATCACTCATGCCATAAATATCAAATGCTTTTAGAGTTTGAATTTCTAGTTAAGAAATGGGTGGCATTTTAGTATTTTCCAATAATGTTATTCTAAAACGAGAGAATTTTCAATTAAAATAGGAGCATATATATAAACTAATACGGAGTACCAAGCATGTGTAAAAATAGGAGTTAGCAGTTTCGATCGTAAGAGTAAAAGAAGAGTATAATTGACAAAAATGACTTTAACAAAGCTAGTAATTCAAATTGAACGAATGTCATCATTGAAGAGTAATGCAATGCACAAATATATAGCCATATAAGATACCAATTGAGAGTTGAGACATTATATTTTTATATTTATGTTTGTGTCCGTTTAGTTCTGTAAAATTACTTGCAAATCATGTCACGCAATTACTAATTTAATTCACATTAAGGCTTTTTCATTAGGATATACTCCGTATATGACAAAATTCGCAACAAAAAGTTGGCTTCAATATGAAATAATTTAAGTTTAATTTAAATCATCTCGGTTAACGGTTAGATCTGAAAACTTTCAGGGATGTGTGTCATCATTTTTTTACAAATTTCCAAACCATTTATCTTCCCCACCTTTTTCTATCACACTTTAAGTCAAAAATAGGGAAATGTGAAGTTGCGTTACAAAAGGACACCCTTTTCGTAATAGGCTCAAGTGACATTATTGTCAATGAATTGAAGTGTTAGGGGTGTTTGAAACTGATTCTGCTTCTGCTTCTTTTTTAAAGCAGAAGCAGAATCAGAATCAGTTTTCAGAAGCTGGTACCCCCAGCTTCTAAAAAAACTGATTCTGGGAGCAAATTAGAGCACCAGAAGTGCTTCTGAAATTTCATCCAAACACTCCATCTTCTGTTTCTACTCTTTGAAAGAGCAGAATCAGTTTTTGAGAATCAGATCCAAACACCTCTTACTTTGAGTTAATCTTCTCTTTCCGATTCCATCCCGTTTTCTATCACTCTCTAAAACAGGGAATCTTCAAGTTGCACTACAAATGAACACCCTTATTGTAATTGGCACCTAAATTGACCTTATTGTCAACATTTTTGTAATTGGCACCTAAATTAAGACTACCCTCTGATCATAGTAAGGGATTGACTTTGGTCGTCGACGTAGACTTTTATGAAGATCCAATCATATTACACAGTAGGTATTATGTATAAGGGAAATTGCGGAACATTTGGTTTCCATAGAGAAAAACAACACGTTATTCCTATTATGAAAAGTTTACATATGTAGTTATTACTTATATTTGGGACATATTACTTTAAACATATCTAATTTATCTGATCCTATTCATCTTATATAAATTGATCACTTCTCATTATAGATTTTTATCTGTCCGTATATAAAAATCATATACAGATCTCATTGTTTTTTCCCGTAGATTTCCCTTCAATCTTTATAAGTTTTTCTAATGGCTCCTTTTGGCCTTTTCGGAGATTATTATTATATTGGTAAGCCAAACATGTGGGCACGTTTAGGAGGTAATAATAGAAGAATAGATAGAGGCGGACGATTCATTGGGATTTGCACATGTAGTGGGCGACTACCATATACTCCCTCCGTCCCGCTATGATTTTCTCATTTTAACATTTCGGAAAGTCCCACTAAGATTGTCTCATACCAAATTTGGTAAATTTTGTGGGGCTCTAAATCATACTTACTTTATTTTTACTTTATCAATTTTATATCAACCACACAAACTTACTTTTCTTAATAATCGTGCCACTTTCTCTTGTCTCAATCTTAGTGGGACGGAGGTAGTATGTCACTCTAGTAAGCACCTCTTACTATCTCCGTACTTTATTAAGACTAGCCTCTATTCATAAGTTTCGGGATCATTACATCAATCAAAGGAAAAACAAATCTGACATCAACTAGACTCTAACAACTACGACTGTAAATCTTATGATGAGCCTTAGAAACGGTCACCCTTGAAAGAGCAACACGAATCGCTAACCATGTAACGGGCTTGACATAATCATCCATATTTCAATAGATCCAAACATGCTTAATGATATAAAACAAGGCTAAGTTCTCAAACAAACTGACAAACCTAACAACATAGACGATAACAACAAACCAAATGACAAAATAATGAAAACTTGTTGGAAAATTTTCACAGACTCTAGCATCTCGCACAACCCATGGCGGTGGTTCAGGAGGAGGCCGTATCCTTGGTACCACTCTAATTGATCCTCCATTGTCAATCGTCACCTGGTTTGCTCGAAATCCGTACAACTCTCCTCGTCCCGCGCTCGTAGCAAATCCACCGCCAGCAGTCATCTTCATCGCTGCCATACCCTTGCTACCCTGCTCACAAAGAAATCGATCGTCGAATCTGGCTTCGATGTCAAACTTGGCAAGGATTCTTGTCAATCTGCCTCAAATCCAATCTCAGCGCCGGACACAGGCGAAGGGGATTCACCGGCCGGAAGAACCAAACCTTAGATCTACTAAGGAAAAACCAAACCCTAGACCTGTTAGGGAGAGACCGCTTTAGCTAAAACGGCAATTCTTTCGAAAAGCTACTATCCCCGTACTTAAAAATTGCAACAATTTTCTTTTACGTTAATAATTTTAAGTGTATATATATTTAATTATGCATTAGTAAACATAATAAAAAGTTAACATTTTGGAAATTTACATTAACATAAGTTTACTGACATTTTATACACAATAACTTAATTATATACAGAATATATTATTAGAATATTGTAGTCAAAGTAAAGTGTAAAAGAACACAATGTTTCATAACTCTTAAGAACGAAAGAAAGTACTACATACTACTCCTCTTATAGTACTATATACGGAGTACTATATTACAACAACAAAAATCTACCCTCTTAATCTAAGCGCGCCTCTGTAATTATATTTATGAACTTCATATTTGCAACCAAACAATTCTAAGTCTTAAGAAAAAAAACAATTCTAAGTTAAATTTCATTGTTTTAGATTGTTGAATCGCCCATTATCGAGAGCATCACACCTTCATACCTAGGCTTAGTGGAGGGGAAGGATAATGCAATTAAATAAACGCTACATTAAGGGAGTTGTGTGGATCTACTTTTTAAAATTGCTTTTGTTCCTTCAAGAGCAAAAACAAATTGCTTGTAGAAGTAGTTTTTTAGAAAATAAGGTAGAACACCTTCTGAGATTTTGATTATGTTTCTATTTTTAAAAAAGAGACAGAAGCAGAATCAATTAGAAACACCCCTAAAAATCAGACTCTACACCGATGCAGCCAATTCGAACCGAAACCTTAAAAGTACTCGATAACCTCTCTCAATGTTCTCCCCGCACTACTGGCTAGCTTAGCATTCGTGTAGATATGTAGTAAACATCATATCATCGATCACTAGTTTTTATGATCTAGTATATCTGAGAAATATTATTCAAACTTTTTTTTGTTCCCACTATTGTTGTGTTTTTACATAGTTACTGTTATTATTGCACGTAAAATTGTATTCTTAGAAATATTTCATAGTTATTGTTTTTATTTTTTTCTGTACAGAAACTATTTAATTTCATAACATTAATAGACCCTAGCTAGGACCTTCATAATCTAATCTTGAAAAAACGGAAAAAATATTTATTTGCATCATATTTTACCGCTGGTCATAATATTATTAATTGTGGATCAATAGTCAACGTGTAATTAAGACTCATCCCTTTAGTATTTTCAAGCTCAACACTCAAAAAATAAATAAATTGACGATAGTTACAAGTTGTATATATGAACATGCCATACATGTTGGTGCTGACATGGAGAGCACAGGTGAACAATTAAGTGTGACGGTCTAACATGATGGAATCAAACTAGATTTGTTGAAAATATATCACAGCTCGAAATTGAACTGAATTTGTTAAAATAAAAGGTTCCCTTTATTAATTTTATGAGATAAGCTCAAACTATAAACATATAATTAAGTTAATATTGTCCTCCCTTCCAGCTTAGATAATGAGCAATTAGCATGTCACGTTTGTGATTGTTTCACATAAACTCTAAGAATAAATTAAAAGTGTGGGCAATATAATCAATAAGTTGAACAGGAAAATATTATTTAATTCTTTGTGGTTTCTTGACTGGTACGTATTTTCTTGAATATGTTCTGTCTCTTTTTAAATTAGTTTTTCCTTACTTCTTGTGCAGTGGAGTGATGCTTAGATAGCCAGTAGGGAGTGGGGAACAAGCCCATCTGGCGCCTCACACCCCCAATTAATTAATAATTAATTAACTAATTTAAGTATTATTTCAAGTGAAGAATTGAAGATGAATCATGAATGCGGCATTGCATGTGTATGTGTGTCATTCAGTTCATACTTCATCCAGTTCGATCTCTACTTCAATTCGGTTGGTGTTACAATTTCTCCAAAACTATTAATACCATTAATAGTATCATTAATAATTACAAAGATACTTAGGATGTTTCTAGTTAGACTTATTTCAGTCCCGACCTAGAGCACATTATTAGACCGGACTAGGGGTGGAACGGGAATGGGTCGTGCGGTCGTGCCGGGAATGGGCGGGCTCGGGCTTAAGAATTTCAGACCCGATACCGGCCCGAGTTTGTACCGGGGCCGGACCGGGCCTCGTCGGGCCAAGCTTCGGGATGGGACTGGGAAATAAATTGAAAAAATAGTTCAATCAGGCCCGCCGGGCCCAAAAACACAAGCCTCAAGCCCGCCCTCATAGAGTCATAGCCACCGCCCACCGGGCCTCGGAGCAGGACCAGGTCTATACAGTACACAATAGTGTGCCAGGCCCAAATAGTATCGGGCTAGGCCCGGGTCGGGCCGACCCGTCCCAGTTCATTCCTAAACCGGACCAGACTTTGACAATTATAAATTACAGAGAGACCAAACATCCACCAGACCAGATCACACTAGATCAATTTAAGATAGAGCAGAAAATTTCATTCCAAATACAAACATCCTTAATATAATGATAATGTTTATTATTACTATATCATCATGATCAGTGGCGGACACACATGGGGACTATGGGGGGCTGCCGCCCCTCCGGGGAAAAAAATTCTAGGTATATTTACCCCGAAATTTTTAATATATATGTATTTGTATGTATATTCTTGTACTGCCGCCCCTGCTATCGGGAAATCCTGTGTCCGCCGCTGATCATGATTACCATCAAAATCATTATTATCAGAATAACAATAATGATACTTATCCTGTTATCCACTAGTTCCATTTTTTTTAACATTATATACTACGTATATCATACTATAGGAATAAGGGGAAGACAAAACCCATATAGTTCCCAGGATAAGTGCATCCAAGTCTTAATGATATATAATTAAGTCTTTAAAATATCATTAAGAGCTGACCATTATCATGCACTTATCATTAAGACTTAATTAAAATCCATTGGGGCATTGGGTGGATATATACAAGTCAATTTGTTAACATTTTTATTTAAATAAGCTAACATGGGTTGGGTGCACCTTATACAGTTATACTAACATCATTCAACTCAAAATATTGTGTTTTCTCTGCATTCAATTATTCAAATCGTTTGTTAAGTTTGACGGCCAAAGAATAAAAAATAAAAAAAAATGTGAAGTTACAACTTACAATTTATTCCCTCCGTATAGGAATAAGTGTCCTAGTAAGTTATAGGATTACTGTACACTTTGAAAAAGTAGAAGATTTTTGGTAGAGTCACAATATTGTTTAGCTTATTAAAATATAGCATAGCTGCTTTTGGGGTGGATTTATTTTCAAAAATGTAAGTGAGACGCTTATTTTGATACGACCTAAAAAGGAAATTAAGACAGTTATTGTGATACGGAGGAAATATTAGAAGATAGAAAAGAATTTGTTTTGTTACCTTTTTAGGATAGCCAAACAAAAAAAAGTTGGGAAAAGAAATAGGGATAGAGTGGTAGAGGGAGTAATAACAAACCAACCTTAAATTGACTTTCATTAGGAGGGAGCTACCTTCCAAAACTAATAGAAGCTGATTCATATTCAATCATTCGACTCATTTCGTCATGTACTCATATTCAATGCTTCACAACAGGCTCAAAAGAGATACAACCATTCTTGGTGTACACGTTTTTATACCCATCAGTACACGCATGTGTCTGTGAGAGTTTTTTTTTTGTCTGTGAAGCGCGGTCCACAGACAAAAGCTGGTTTGCTTTGTCTGTGAAATTTTCCACAGACAAAACAAGCCAACTTATGTCTGTGGACCGCGCTTCACAGACAAAAAAAAACTCTCACAGACACATGCGTGTACTGATGGGTACAAAAACGTGTACAAAAGGAATTTTTTTTGAAAGAGATAAGGGTCTTTTTCTGTAGTGTAAGTTGTAGTATGAAATTTTAAAGTTGTAATAAAGTTGTGATAACAATTTCATTTGTTCGATTATTTGAACAACATAAATAATTAAGTCCAACCTCACTTTTTACTATTCTCAACCAATTTAGTGCATGAAGAATAAAGATAATAAATTAGTGTATGATATGAGATCTAGTCTAGTCTAGTTAATGAGGTAAAATATAAAACTACCAAGTACCAATTAATATACTTGATAGAACAGTTTGTACCCTTCATCAATTACAGCTGCTTAACACATTAAAAGCACTGAATATTTTTTTATTTTATTTTATTTTCTGTGAGTTGTGGATGATTGTATGAAGGTGATCTGAGGGGACCAAAAAATATGAAGGTGATATGGCATAAGAGTTGTCCGTTCTAAAAGACTTGTTTTATTAGTGTGAGGGGTTTTTTTATTTAAAAAAATCCCAAATGCCTCACAGTTAAGAAATCCAAAGCAATTTGGCAATGGAAAGAAAAAATGAGAGTAAGTTTAGAGCATAAGAGAACTATGAATAATGGTTGCAGAGTAATTCGTGTCAATGATGACAAGGAAGAAAGGGCTTTGAGTCTTTCACACTTCATTTTTTTTATGAGAAAGACTACAAAGGAGACAAAGGCAAAGAGTCAGCATCAAATCTGACTTGGCTATTGCAAACCATTCTTTTCCACTTGGGAAGGACCATTCATCTAATTTAAAATCACAGGTTGTGACAAAGATATTGATACAAGGAAAGATCTGATGCCAGTTCATAGCAAGCAGTTAATTGTTTTACAACTACATTGGGAAAGATCTGATGCCGTTATATCTCTGTAAGGAGGATCGAGTCCATGAAACAAAAGGAATGACAGAATCATAATAATATTCGTACTTACAAATTTGGACTTGGTAAATGCATCTTGATCAGATATTTGTTGCCTGTAATAGCGTCCTCCCTCTCTACAGGTTAAAATGGAAATGTTCATAAGTAAATATGTGAAATCGAACTTTTAACACCACAATGGTAGTAAACTACAAGAAATTGGTATATTTGCAAACACAGTTCTTGGAACACATACATTTTAAGAAAGAACATAAATATACTTGAATTTTTGCAGCCCTTGTTAGTTGTCATTTTTAGCCTGTTGCAAGGAACTTAGGAACCACACTATTTTCAGGTTCCCTATACTAAGCTATAGCTTAGGTCTCATTGTTGTAATTATGTAAGAGGAATCCTCCTTGTTTCCAACTTCATCCAAAAACAAGAGTCCTTTTTAGTCATGGAATGATATTTATATTTGAATAACTTATTTGTTGATTTAACCAAATATATCGCCTATTCGCAACTGATTTG